AGGAACAATTCTGCTGGCGTCTTGTCATTCAAGTTCGTGTTTGGTGTTGTCCTATACGCTTGTAACACCACATTTAGAGTCTCTTCTGTTGGCCTCTCCTCCCCCTCTAGTTTCTTGATTCCGCGTTTCAGCGTATCAACGAAACGCTCTGCCTGTCCATTCGATTGAGGGTGATACGGAGCAGTCCTTATGTGGGTGATTCCACCTTCGTCACACATCTTCTTAAACAAGTCCGATGTGAACTGGGTACCATTGTCGCTCACTATTGTTTGCGGCAATCCATACCTCGCAAACAAGTTCTTCAAAGCCTTCACCGTCTTCGCAGCCGAGATATTGCTCATCTCGATCATTTCCGGCCATTTGCTGTGCGCATCTACTACGACCAAGTAGAAAACACGTTGCATAGGTCCAGCGAAGTCGATGTGTATTCGCTGCCACACTCGAGTCGCTGACGGCCATGCTTCCAATGGTACCTTCGTCGGATTTTTGGCTAAATCCTGACATTTCGTGCATCTTCGTACCAAATCTTCGCAATCTTTATCAATGTTCGGCCAGTAGACGTAACTTCGAGCCAGCTTCTTCATCCTTACAATCCCAGGATGACCACTATGCAGTTCTTTCAGAACATTTCCTCGAAGCTCCTTGGGTATCACAACCCTTTCGGCTGACATCAGACATTGCTCCACGATTGACAATGTCTCTCTTCGATTTCGAAAATGTGCCAGTTCTCCATTCGCGTCTGGCCAATTTCCTTTCTGCACGTAACTGAGTACTTTTCTAAGTACTGGATCTTTCTTCGTCCAAGTTTGTACATCAAATACCGTTACTGGCAGTTTCCTTATGCAGCTCTTCAGCATGTAGTCAACGTCGTTCTCAACTGCAGCTATCACGACATCTTCTTCGGGATTCTGATTTTTCTTCATCAACCTTGACAAGCCATCAGCTTGTCCGAACTTCGTAGTCTTCACATACTCTATGTCGAAGTCATATCCAAGTAGAATTGTAGCCCATCTCATAAGTCGGTTAGCGGAGTAGACAGGAACTCCTTTCTTATCACCGAAGATGGCTAGCAATGGTTGATGGTCCGTCAACAATAGAAATTTTCGTCCAAATATGTACTTGTGGAATTTCTTGACAGCGAAGACAATTCCCAACGCTTCTTTTTCGATTTGCGAATAATTCTTCTCTGCTTTCGTAAGAGACCGCGATGCATGCGCAATTGGCTTTTCGGATCCATCAGGATATCTGTGCGATATCACGCATCCAATCCCATAGTCGCTGGCGTCCGCTGCCACGACAATCTTCTGTCTTGGATCATAGTGAGCAAGATTGAGCTCACTCGACAATGTATCCTTAAGCTTCTCGAATGCTTCTTGTTGTGTTCGAGTCCACTCCCACTTCGAATCCTTCTTCAGCATCGCGTCTAATGGTCCACGCAGATCCTTAATCTTTGGCATGAACGCCGCATAGTACGTTATCATGCCAAGGAAAGCCCTCAGTTGACTAACATTCTTCGGCTCATCCATATTCTTGATCGCTTCGATCTTCGCTAAGTTCGGTCTTCTGCCATTTCGATCTACTATGAAACCGAGGTATCGTATTTCTGGCTTGCCAAAAGAACATTTCTCTAACCGAATCCTGAATCCATATTCGGCTATCCTTGCAAAAACAGCTAACAAGTTCTTCATGTGTTCCTCTTCGGTTCTTCCACAAACCAAGATGTCGTCTAGGTAGGTTGCTACCCCTCGCAGACCACTGACCATCTTGTTCATAATTTGCTGGAAGATCCCTGGTGCTGTCTTGATTCCAAAAGGCAGTCTATTGTACTGGTATAATCCTCTATGCGTATTTATCACGACCATTTTCTTCGCTTCTTCTGACAACTCGATCTGCAGATAGGCGTCCGACAGATCTATCTGCGAAAACACCGTGCCTCCATTGAGGGATGCGAATATATCCTCCGGCAATGGCAACGGGTAATCATACGACTCCAGCGCTTTGTTGAGTCCAGTTGAGAAGTCAGCACACACTCTCAAGTTTCCATTGGCCTTTCTGACGCATACGATCGGAGCTGCCCACTCACTGTGCGTTACTGGGCTTATGACGCTTAGCTCCAACAGCCTATCAAGCTCCTTTTCGACAGCTTCGACCGCAGCATGGGGGACAGGCCTGCAAGCCTTGAACACTGGGCGAACGTTTTCGTCAACTCTCATGTGTGCTTTCTCTTTCGTGCAGAGTCCTAAACCTTCCTTGCAGACTTCTGGATAGGCTTCCTTTAGCTTCAGAGCGATGTCCTTGGTTTGCTCTGTCTTCACTTCAGCAACCATTCTGCTTAGGTGATACGACATATCTTCGTTCTTCTGTATCCACTCCAACCCTAGCAGTGAGTTGTGAGGCGTCACGTATGCGTAGCCTTCACTTTTAGATCCTTTGATTTCGTACTCACACCATAGCTTTCCATGGACTTTCATGGAGCCTCCACTAGCATTTTTGACGACCACGTTTGTCTGCTCCAACCGTGGAGCACCCATGCTTCTCCAAATTGATTCGTTTAGCAGTGTGATGTCTGATCCAGTATCTAGCAGGAAACTAACTGGATGACTATTCACTTTTGCTTCGATATACATTCGTGTCGAGTTGACATCCACCATCGCATTTGCAATCTTCGCTACGCTGTGCACATGACGTTTCGGTTTCGTCCAACTTCTGTTCTTACTGGTGTCGCTGCTTCTGTGAATTCTTCGTTTTGAATCTTGCTGAACAAGTGTTTTTCTCTCCGCTACCTGTTCGCAATACTTCTCTTTGTGACCTGTCTTCTTGCACTTCTTGCAAAACCACTGCTTCGCTTTGCATTCCCTGGCAAAGTGAGCTTTACCACAGTTCCAGCATTCCAGCTTCGTGGGTTCCTCCTTGCTTGTTGCTTCGACAATCTTCGCGCAACCAGCTACAGTCTCGCTGTCCTTCTTGAGACTGAGAAAGTTTTCGCACTCCAGGTACAATTCTTGTAGCGACATCTTTCGTCCAGCCTTGTACTCCTTGTCCAGTACGGCTATGAGTCGCTGCCTGATTTCTGCTTCTTTTTGGCTCTTCAGGCCAAATATCCATAACAGGCACTTGATTCCATCGCTGTCGAGTTCGTGAATCTTCGCCTTCTCGCACAATTCGTTCACTCTTCCAGTATACATGAGGTAATCTTCGGAATCCGTCTTTTCCAGCTTCAAACACTGATAACGCATAGTGAATTCCGAAATCTTCACATCGAACAGCTGCTTCAATGTTTCGACGGTTTCTTCGAATTTGATCGCGGTTACCTCCTTCGGTAGTACATGCCTCTGATATTTTTCAAAACTGTCCTTGTCTAGCTTTTCGCAGAGAAGCCTCACCCTAGCGCTCTCTGTCAGCTGCTTCGCATCTTCGACGAAGACTTCCTTGTAGCGGGCGTACCACTTGCTGAAGCCCATATCCGCCTCGGGGTCGAAGTAGAACTTTTCGATCCGATTACTGAGCGCGGACATCATGTTCGGCACTTCCGATGATGTACTGACTTGTCCAGTACCTGCAATGTGCTTCAGGAACATCTCCGTCATTTCTTTCCTTTCTTCTTTCATCAACTCTCGGAAATTCTTCTGGTCTTCTTTCATCAACTCTCGGAGGTTCTTCTGGTCTTCTTTGATCAGCTCCTTGAACATGGCCAACATTTCCTCTGCGCCTATCTTCGCCATGTTGACTGATGAAATCCGAATCGGCTTCGCAGTTTTCTTCGAGTAATTTCCTGATGTGCTTCGTCCGTATTCGGGCTACTTCTTGCTAGTAGCCGCTGCCTCCTGATCGCCACTGTTGTGTCCTTTGGATTCGGACACTCCTTCGTACCTTCGTCCGTTGGGCGGCACACGAGGAAAATAAAATATTTATTAGAAAATAGTAGAACAGCAAAATAAGAGAGGCAGAAGAGTGAACAGACGAACTGACAATAGCTAACAGCGAGCGCCTTTTATAGCGCTTATTTCCCGCGCAATGAGGCTGCAGGCGCCTCAGCGAGGGCAGATCATACGAGGAAACAACTGATCAGACACTAACACAACAAAATCTATAAAAAAGTGGAAATCAGAATAAAAAAGATAAAAAATCTGTAGAAATTCTCAAAAAACATTTACAAGAGCTCAAAACACTTTTGGAGGATGTATAATTTGATAAAATTGCTAAATGTACCGATTGCCGTAGAAATCTTGCTTCTGAAGCCCTCTTGAAGCCTCACACACTCGACAAAAGCGAATATCTTCACCAGCTGTAACCATCATAAATTTCTAAATCTTTTTGGAATGTTTTTCACGGGCCCATATGTTTTATCTGTACTTTGGAGATGCTCCGCTACATCAGTGCAAAATTTGGTGTTATTTTGTCAACTGTGGATTTTCTTATAATTTTATGTATGGTAGCAAAAAATCAGGAAAGGGGGGCCGTATCTGGGTCGCATCTAAATTTCTTCGGAGCTATTGAAGGTTTTTGGCTGCAATTTGCTGTAATATGAGGCCATCCTCCTACTTTCCTCCATAAAAATTGCAGGCTGTCTTATAACTTCTCTGGTAAGTTACAAAATTTTAAGCTCAAAAATCCGTTTTTGCTTTTTAGGATCGCATCAATATGCGAGAGTCGCATCTAAATTTTCTCGAGCTTACTGCTCCTTAAGCTGAAACTTTTTCTGTGGATATTCTGGGCACTATACTACAGGACCTGTGCTTTGCAGCCTCTCAGTCTTTTCCTGGCCTTAATTACAAATTTTCAAACTGACGTACTCATGCACGTTTTTGATAACGTTCTGGACGGCGCTCAATCAGTTTTTTTCGCGGGAAAACTGTGGAAGAGGTAGGAAGTAAGCTTCCTAGTCGAAAACATCTTTTATAGTTCAAGAATATCATTTTTTCTCAGTGCAAAAATTTGCGTCGACACGGGAATCGAATTTGCTGGTTTGAAGTATGCCTGAAAATTCAAAAAAAAACTTGCAGATTCTCAAACGTTATTGAAGGTGTGTATGTGTGCTACAGATGCTGGACGCACCCATTGGCCTAGAAATTCTGCTTCCGAAACCTCACTGAAGTTCTCACGCAGGTATTTTTTGAGATTGACATTCGTTTATGTAGGTTACCGCGAGGAATGTGGGCAGGGGAGGTAAGGGGGATAAATGAGGGAGGGTGGGGGGGGGGGGGAAGGGTGAAGGGGGGAGGGGTTGTACGTACGGATGGTGGGTACCTTCAAGGGGGGGGGGGGTTGTAAATGAGGGTCCCGGATCGCATCAACGCGCTTACCCTGGTTACATGTCGCACGCGTCGCTGCACTAAACTAAAGTCGTTGTTCGATTTGTCATTGTATATCCTAAACGGATAGCGGCTCAGCTTTATGAAGTTATTGTGAGGCAATCAAATCTCTAAGCCGCGAGCTGGTCTCATATGCAGCACCTATCCGAAACGTGTTGAAGAAATATTTTCCTGTAAATACGTATAATTCAGCGACTGCTAGCAATTCTGCATTGACACACATACTTTTGATGGTCCTTGCTTGGGGATCTGTGTTCAACAGAAAAAGGAGCTCATCTGGGCAAAAATCTTTGACGTGCATGTTTTCACAGAAAAGTCGGTGTAAAGAGGAAAATCGCTCGTTTATTTAGGGATTGCGAAAACAGAGTTTTTCTCTTGCGGTTCTCGTGCCGTTGCTAAGTTGTCTTCCTCATCTTACGAGCGAGACTACCCGAGCAAGATAATAGCAGTAGAGCATTCAGATAGAAAGTTCTCCTCCTTTTTTACTCAGTAATTCGCCACAATTGATGAAGTTCGGCAACGCCTGCAACACAACAATAGTTCCTGTCAAAAGTGCAATATCGCGTCAGAAACAGTAAACTGGAAAATAAGTGGAAGTTAAAATCATAGTCAAAACAGCGCTGTTTCTCGCACAAATCACAAATCTGAGCCGGCGTTTGTCACGTGTGAGTATATAAAACGATCATTTGACAGACGCTTATTACACTAATTTGGAGACCACAAAACAAACTCGGGATTCTAATAGGCAAGTGATTTTTATTGTAAACTCAATATAACTGGAATCTTTTGACGTCTTCATACCACTGGGAAACCTGTAGAGCTCGTTTTTTTTATGATTCCAGCATATTTAATGCTCGCACATACATTGAGAGACTCCTGCCCCTCCCTAGGAAAGGTTTTGGTGACGAGAGTAGGCATAAGAGAGATGGATAGCTATCAAATTTATGTCTAAGGAATTCCAGAAATCTTAACGGTTGTACAATAACATATTTTTGGTTTCCTTGCTGTGTGTCATCATCAAGCTTATTAGACTAATTCGGAGACCGCAAAACAAAGTCGGGGTTCTAATGAGACAAGTAATTTTTTATTCTGAAGTGAAACTCAATATAACTGGAATATTGAAGTTCGAGAAAGTTCCACCGGTGGGTAATTCAGAGTATGCTGTTAACTTTCAGACCGCGAAATCGCATGCGGCGAAAAAGAGTGCATTCTCAGCCATTAGCCAACAAAGGGACCTTATTTCATAGACTGTGTGCTACATCTGTAATCAGCTTGTCAGATAAGTTCCATACTCAAGTTCTGAGCGGATTCGAAGTGTATGATCTTGTCAATTGTGAAGGACTTCTGTGCTTTCCTGAAATAGGAACAGAAACTCAGTTTCTAACATTATCAAAAAGTATGCAGACGGTTAAAATCAGTATTGAAACTACGGTTTTTCTCTTTGATATCGAAGCAAAAGAAAGTTGTGACGTTGCACGCGTCGTTCGCGTTGCCGCACTTCGTTGCAACTGTTATTCGATTTGTACTCATCTCTCCTAAACAAATATCGGCGGCACGACTTTGCAGAGTCATTTGAAAAGTAGAAGCTTAGGCCTTTGACTTGATAACCTTGGACTAAAAGAAACCCCTTGTAAACTACAAAAAGACTTCAAAGCAGCGTGCTGCACTATGTGAAGCATCGGCCCGAAACGTGTTAATTAAGTGTAGAAAGTAAGCAAATCACTGCATATTTTTTGCAGCCCCATTCTTCTAGAATGATCAGTTGTTCTATAACATCAGCCAATATCCTGTGACTGTCTATATTCAAAACAAGTTAGATTTTTTTCTCAGAGAAAAATTACTACACGAATTTGTCAGCTCTCCAAAAATTCAAAATTGCACTCTGCCCTCTGAGCGGATAGCACCCGGTGTGGAGGTGGAGGTGACTAACTTTGGGCTTAGCAATCATGTAGAGCGTAAACCATCAATATCAAAAATTTATACACCTCCTGTCCTTTCAACTTCCTTCTCCACCCCCTCCAAGAACCCTCCCTCCTCACCTAACCTTTCCATTCTGAAATGAGAAATCTTCAAAAGATAAGAAAGAAAAAGCCGAAACAACAAACAGCGTACACCCAACCTCGTATTAACGGTAAGATCCACAGTCGAGGGTGATATGCTATTTCATGTCAGAGTGTCCCAAAAATGTGCCTACTGTTTGATTGGAAAAAGCTTCAGGTACCATTCTGTAGAGCTGGCTTCGACTTAGGTTTACGGCATGGAAGGAGTCACTGATCGCCCTTCATCAATGTAAGATTACGGTGCGAACTTTGACGAGGGTATTGAGCCATGAAAAGCATATATATGCTCTCAGAAACGAAGTAAAGCGACCAAGGACTCCCACATTAGGCTAATTAGAGTTGCTGATTCTATAGTTAGCACCGAATAATTTTTGAATTTTCGTATTCGAATGGTTTACTCGAACTAGAGAAGTCGAATATTCAGGAAAACGCACTTATTCTATTACTCGAATAGGCGAATAAATGAAAAACACTTTTATTCGAATGTTTGTTTATTCGACGAATCGGATAAACAACTTATTCGAAATTTTATTCGAAAATTCGAATATTCGAATAATTTAAGAATAAATTGTTTATTCGATTCGTCGAATAAACAAACATTCGAATAAAAGTGTTTTTCATTTACTCGCAAGCTTTACTCGAATATTTCCATGGAAATAATTCGCAATTGACAATTTGATGACTCACAAAACTCTCTCCTCCGAGTTTCCACTAGGTAGGTACACTTGATCACATTGGTTCCAGCAGAAGTGTGAAATACCGATGTCCAAGCCTAATTCGCCTTTTCATGAACACTTGCAGAAAAGGAATCAGTTATGATGCATTGATTTATTTTTTACTAGCTGGCTTACCCGGCTCCGCCGTATGTTCCAAATAGAAAATTCCATTTCTTAACCGATCCGGACCAAACTTGACACACATACACTTCGGGCCCCGGCGGGTGTCACAGTCCACTTTTCGCTATCGATCGATGTCGATTTTATCGATTTTTTGCAAAATTTGAGCTAGGGGGCTGGAATTTGGCAGGGGGGTGTAATCGAGCATGCTGATCACCCCCGTGGGGATGATCAGCATGCTCGATTATACCCCTGTGCCAAACTCCAGCCCCGTAGCTCAAATTTTGCAAAAAATCGATAAAATCGATAAAAGTAATGCACGATTTTAAAAACTAATATTGTATTCGGAATCCCCATGCTCACTTACCCCCCTGTGCCAACTCCCAGCCCCGTAGCTCAAATTTTGCAAAAAAATCGATAAAATCGATATCGATCGATACGAAAAGTAGCCTATGACACCCGCCGGGGCCCGAAGTGTATGTGTGCCAAGTTTGGTCCCGATCGGTTCAGAAATGGAATTTTCTATTCGGAACATACGTACACACACACAGACAGACAGACAGACATACAGACATACAAACAGACATTCAGCTTTATATATAAGATGCAAGACCTTTGAGACAACCTGATATTTGTTATTTCAAAAATTTTGAGTAATTGCAGAATCTTGACCTTGCCCTGCGCTTCAAATTTCTTTTTGATAGTCAGAATTCTAAATCACAAGCCATAAAACAAAAAATCCTCCATACGATTTTTGTTGTATAGTAAGGCCGCCAACGTCCCGCACTAACGCTCTCCTTATGAATATAACATACTAGCTGGCTTTCCCGGTCCGCTTGGACCGTGGGCCCAACGAAGGTCACAAAATAAATCTGTAGACCAAAGCGAGATCAAAGCTCACCCTGCTTTTATTTTCTTTCTTTCTTACCCCCACCTTTTCCTCAGTCCTGCACCTGATTGAATTCGGGTAGCAGCGGCTCTGTGGCGGACTTGTCTGCTTTCCTAACCGCACTTCGAGACATCACATCCTCCTCAAAGCGAAATGTAAATGAGATCTACAACTCCTTTTACATAGTTATTCGGAATTAACCCGACAATGATCAGAAGCCTTCATTTTCATTGATGTAAGTAAAAAAACCAATAAATCGATATAAGGACAGCGTATCGTCGCAAAAAGGTAGCATATCGTGTGCGCCGCGATTGAAAATATATATGGACAAAGTATGGCGCTTCTTGGTTCACTCACAAAGATTTCATTCGACACATACTTTGTGGAAACATACTTACTCACAAACTTTGAATCATAATATGTGCATATAAACATCGGACATTGCAATCCTTCATCACACACACACACACCTATAGAGGATGTCTTACCAGAGAAGCCACTTACCTTAGGTCGGCCTTTCAAAATGATACACATGTATTTAGAATCAGCTCGGAACGCTGATTTCAAATGTGCTGTCCGTAGCTGCGAAGCATTCCTATTAAGCGAGTTATGAGCTTTTTAGTATGTGTAATTGACATATAACTAAATATGGAAAGAAGGCCTTTAGTTGAAAATCTGCCTATAAAAGTGATGGGAAATCTAAATAACATCAAAGTGAAGTCATTTGTCTTTGATAGCGTGTTGTATGCATTTGGACTACTATCTGGATGACGATACCGCAGCATGCCTAAGTTGGTCAGCACGCAAACTTTGCTTAGGAAAAAGCTCATAACTCGCTTCAGAGGAACGCTTCGCAACTAAGGACAGCATATTTGGAATCAGCGTTCCGAGCTGATTCTAAATGTATGTGTCTCATTTCAAAAGGCCGACCTAAGTTAAGTGACTTCCCTTGTTAGATTTTGCAGTAAAGAATTATGTGAGCTTGAATCTCTAATCACCATGTAAAAATGAGCCCTGCCTTGTATATCTGTTCAATTATTTTGCGATTTTACAAAGCGTGCCTCATTTACTTAAAGAACTTAGGACATTATCAGCAATAAAAGAATAAAAAACATCTACCAAGTTACCTCAATTTCAAATCTCAAATAGTTTTCTGAAGAGGAGTAAGGATTACTTGCACATACCAGTATGTATATTATCGGTGCAGAGACTTGTGAAGTCTGTTCCCTGCACCCCACTTGCAAGACAAAGCAATCGCCAACTCAGTATATGCAATGGCGCTCCCAGGATTTCCGTCCCTGGGATAGAAATTTTTTGAGTAGAGGTGCACGGCGTTGGCCTCGCATTGCGAAAAATTTTCGCGGGCTCATAGCCCCTAATTTCTAGAAGAAGGGGACGTGTTGGCAGTAAACATGATAGAAGAGTAAGGACCTTTTTGCATATAAGGCAGCTTAACGTTCCGAAGGCATTAAGGCCTAAAATCGACAAGATCTGTTGTGCTCTATTAGTGTGGAGCTCCGTTCCTCGTAGCGTAATTCTAGCTCAACTCAACTGTGCTATTCAGTCTTTTGACAGCCCATCAGGAACGTAACTACAAAGATCCACTTCATTGAACAATAAATTACATTTACGAAAAACGTAGTCAAATAAATGACGAGGACATATAATTACTCTACGGCGTTTGCACGTAAATTTTTTTTCAACTGATATAAAAGGGAATGCGGTACTCCTACTCGTCATTTGCAAACAGTAGCTGTTAAGTGCTCAAGTTAGTCTTGCGTCATTGATTTGCATTATAAGTTGAAGCCTTTGATTGTTACAGAATGCCCAAAACCTTCTTTGCCGTCACTGCAGCTGCCACAGGCGTCATAACCCTGGTCTTTGTCGTTATCATCATCTACTTGGTGAACGATATCAATGACTTCTACGATGAAATCATTTGGGAGCTTTCAGAATTTAACGTACTTCCTGATTTTGCAGTAGTACAATTTGCTGGAGAAAATTTTTTAGGGTCTGGCCGAGTCAGCATGGCATGAGATGCAACCATCTTACCTTGCACGAAAGAGAAGAAGTGGTCTTTCCATACAAAAGGCCAGAATACCTCGTCAATGGCCAGCACACTGCGCTTGCGCATTGGTATCAATGGGTTGCCCAATTGGTCCACCTGGTCCACCGGGGATGCCTGGGCTCGATGGATTGAATGCCCCACCAGGTTTGCCTGGTAGACGTGGAAACGATGGAATCACTATAAGTGGTGGTGGTGGAGCTGGCGGATGCATAGCGTGCCCGGCGGGACCTCCCGGACCTGCGGGACCTGATGGACCCGCGGGATTGCCTGGACCCATCGGAATGCCTGGACAAAGAGGAGCAGGAGGAGGTATGGGCCCACCAGGACCAGCCGGACCTACAGGGGATCCCGGACCTGGTGGAAAACCTGGAAATGCAGGAGCACCAGGTATGCCAGGTATCCCTGGACAGCGCATAATCGGCCCACCGGGTCCGGCTGGAATGCCGGGTTTGGTGGGACCGCCCGGTCCACCTGGGCCAGGTGGACCGTATGGTGTAGAACCATCGCCTGGTCCGCCAGGACCCATGGGGCCACCGGGAAGGACCGGGCCACGAGGGCCAGATGGAATAAGTGGACCTCCTGGATCTTCTGGTATGAAAGGCGGTGACGGTCACTACTGTCCCTGCCCTCCACGCTTGTTCAAACAAAGAAACATTGGCAGATATCGAAAAAGACGATTTCTTAGCACACTGAAAAAGGAGGCTGTTGCTTCTATTCGCTCAACCAAAAAAAATCGCAGTTCTCGCAGCAATAGAAGGCCAATAAAGTTCACAAATTAGTCGATGATTGATGAGTCCGATTTCTACACTCAGCATAAAGCCATTTTCGATCAATGAAGCTTTCTTGCACTGATGAAAACATCTAATTCTGGTGATCTATTAGGTTGCTTCATAAACTCTTCAAAGACTTTTCAAAACAATATTTACAAACTTCGTATTTCTCTTGAGCTGCACGGTAACATCGATAGAACCATACCTTCGATAGTCCTAAACAGGGCGTTGAAAGTGAACGTTGTTTGGACATTTGCCCTCATGAAAAGTGAAGGTTGTTTATAGAAGATCAGAGAAGAAAAAAGACGCAAAATAGATATAGAAAGCAAAAGAAACTGCTGAAACCGGGTACAAACGGTGCAGTGAGGTTTGAAATCTTCCATTTGGCGGCATCATTTTGAAATGCGAGTTTTTGCTCCAAAACCATGCAATCCGCAACACGGGGAAAACGAGGTAAAGTTAGTTTCTTTTTTGTGATTGTCTTAAAAAACCAAGTTTCGCAATTAGTGGTTATCAAGAAAAATATAAACAAGAATGAATATGGTTATGAAAACGCAAAGTTTCCTTCTTACTAAGTCGAAATGCATGTCAAAGCTAAATTTAGTTTTCGATGCGTCCTTCAGATGTTTACCGCGCATTGACGTTCCTGTTTCCTGGGACGTTGCCCGGAATGTTGCGCTTATTGCTTTGAGCAACAGTCGCCCAAGTTGGAACAAATCGCTGCAAAAGCACTGAAACAGAACCAGGGAAAGAAAAACGCACTTTCTACAATTTTTCACAAAAAATTCCGCCATGATCGAACAGACAAGCACTGGATCGTTGTCTGCATTATGAACAAAAGCAAGATCTACAGAATGCACGAAAACCGCGTGAAAAGAGTTAAATTAGGGGAAAAGCAGGAGATTTTCGAAAACAATGTTTTTGCCGGATTTTTCATGCAAATCAAAAAATGTGGTTTGCGACTTGTCAGCTGAAAGCAGAGATCAAAAGCTTCAATATGATATACTTGCCTACTTCTTCACGTGACGTGCGGGCCCCAGCTCAGAAGTTTCCATTTCTCACTGTCCCTCGCTTCAGACATCCACGATCTTCTTGGTTGACGTCGGTGGCTGCGTCCGCGAGTTCCAGGTGCAAAAATCGTATCCAGCTGATTTCTCAGTTGGTCCATCCGTTCCATGAACATGTCTGCCCATCTCGTTGGAGGTCTTCCTCGGGGACGTTTTGCTTCGCGAGGAATCCACTCCGATGTTCTTAATGTCCATCTGTCGTCTGTTCTTCTCATAATGTGACCGGCCCATCGATGCTTCGCTTTCGCAACGTATCTCCTCATATCCGTACTGCGAAGTCCGACGAGATGTTGTTTGTGTCGGGTCCTTCAGAAGACTACGCTCTAGCGCTCTGTGGGTGGTCCTTAAAGCTTTCGAGGTGGCGACGGTGTCAGCCCAGGTCTCAGCTGCGTAACAGAGCGCCGGGAGAACGGCTGAGTCGAACAGGTGGGCACGAAGCTCCGGGTCCGTCAGTTGGTCGGTGGCCCTTCAGAGGCCCGAAGGCGGCCCAGGCTGCTCTTCTTCTCCTGTTAAGTTCTTCCCTGAAGTCTCCATGTTCATCTAACGTCCGAGATACACTTAAGAAGACGTCTCCCAATATGATATATAACTTGCTAAAATAGGATTCGAAACAACGAAGAAAAGGGTACCAGAGCCAAATGCCCCGCCCCCCGCGTTTGGGGTACCGAGGTAGCGCGCAGCGCGCGGAGACGCAGACGAGCAGCGGAGAAAGACCGGAGCCGACGCGGCATTGGCTATGGTCGTAGATCTCCGCGGGGTCTCAACGAAACCTTGCAACATTATATATCATTCTGATCGTCATGATACGACAAGGAGCACTGACAAGTCTCAAGCGTTAAAAATCACTTATTAACGAGACCAGCATTTTCGTGCACGACTCTCTGCGCAAGATTTAAGCGCAGTTTCTCGTTTTAATGTAAGTCCAACAGCTTTTCTAAACTTTGAAAACCCAATTTTGGTCAAATAAGAGGTTTACTAAGAAGTGTTCTGCTGAATTTTGGAAAAACCTCACAGAAAGCTTCTTTTTAGCGTAAAAAAGGCCATAAAAACGCAAGTTCTCGGTTTCGCTGAGATAACCTAAAGATATTCTTCCTTAAATTTGCTTCATTCACATTCTTGAAAACAGAAGTCGTACGGGGCTTTGCCACGGATGAATTCTGTTTTTTTCTTTCAGGTGAAGGTTGTTGTGGTCTCTCATGGCCCTCGAAGTGAAGGTTACGAGAGTGCATGTCTCTCTGTATCGAGGGTATGGATAGAACCTAGCTCAATAAGATGGCATGCTCTGTCCACCAGCTTCCGTATACTTCTCGTGTTAGAAGGTGAAATCTAGGAGGTTTCGGATGACCAAAAAATTGAAAGCATTTATGTCTTCACTCAGAAAAAAGTTGTCGGATTTCTCACTTGCTCACGTATAACACATTCTGTACAAGGAGTCCCTAGATGGTGTCGCTTGCTATATCTTCCTGCGCTAGGAAACGAGAGAAAAAAGTTTAAACTTTCAATAGAGCGATGCTGTTGTGCTGTTCCCACATAAGTGGTTCTATACTACAAGCCTTCTGAAGTACAACCGCAAGCTTCCGGCGCTCTGCAAGCCTTACGGTTCCTTCATAGTCCGCCGCAGGACGCGGCGTGCTGCTGCGTGCTGCGGCGCAGGCGCCGCAGCTTGCAGAGCGCCGGAAGCTTGCGGTTGTACTTCAGAAGGCTTGTAGTATAGAACCACTTATGTGGGAACCAGCAGCCTGCCGAGCACGCCGTTTCCTGTGGCGCGCGCCGCTCGAGTCGCAGTGAAAAATAAGCTCGTTCGCTCTGAAGCAACACTCTCTAAGAGCACGAACGTGCAGCAAATAAAGAAATACATCCATAACCGGCGAAGCTGTGTTGCTGTAAGCTATATTTTCACTGCGACTGCAGCGACAGGCTGCTGCGTTCTGCCGCGTATGCCGCAGCACGCCGCAGCACGCCGTGTCCTGCGGCGTAGTATGAAAGAACCCTTACTGTGACATAGAAGACCCTTACAAAAAAGCTTGATTCAATATTTCCCGTAAAAAAGCGCTCTCGAAGGTTGATAATTTGCTATTGTGTTTACTTTTAGTATTACATACATTTACTTATGAGAGAAGAGCACAACAATGCCTCGTTGGAAGCCCGAAATTTTAAGTTTTCTCGGTTTCTAAACTATTAGGGCGTTCCATAGTTCGTAGCGTTTTTTAAACCAACAAAAACATCAATTTACAGTAAAAATCGGTCAAAGTTACATTCCTCGTTGCAGCGCACAACCTTTTGGCACATTTTTGTTAGCCTCTTAATCTCAATTTTTCAAACGGCAGCGCGCTGGATTCCAAGGAAGTCATCTAAGCAGTGCTCAAACTACTTACTGAAATCGAGACATGCACCTTAAGAGGTTTCCTAAACAGCAGAGCAAATGGTAATCTGATAGAGCGAGATTCCGAGCACGTTGTTACTGAAGTACCTTCCAGTCAAATCATGCAGGACAGTTTCGACGACATTTGCTGTATGACGCATGTTTCGTCATGAAAAACTCACTGGACCTGTCTGTTAGGCTTTTTCTGCGGTAGGACCACGTTTAGACGGTGAAGTTGGATTGCTTACAGTATGCTGATCATCGCCTACTTAAAGGCAGTGGCTCGGCAAATCTCAACCTAGTCAAATTTGCGCTTACCTGGGGTTTTACAATACGCTGATCCCAACCCACTTTCGAAAGCTTGAAAACGGAGAAAATGAGCCTTTTTTGATGCCCTTCCCCTTGGAATCGGAGGAGTGGAGCAAGGCCGATGATGCTAAATCGTGGCAGGACCCAATGGCTATAGCCTTGCGGCGGGCAACCTCCAATGGTAAGAAGGAAATTGCCAACTCGTCCAGATGCGTGTAAGATTGGCCTGCGCGTGTAAGTCTGAGAGCGATTTTCTCGGCAAAGCATGCTGTGCAACCGTGATTGCACTGTTCTCATACTTGGGCGATAAGGAACCTACCGCGTTGAAATCCCGAGTTGTTGAATTTTGCCGATCCACTGCCTTTGAACCGCAATTTTCAGTGCAGGACGTCCGCTCGTCTCGAAAGTCTTGTTCAGGGAAACCTGGTCAGCTCCTGATTTTTTTGTAGCAATCCAATCTATGATGAAAGAGCGCCATGCTCCATAACTGACAGAAAATCTGTGCAAAAGCGCTTCTTTTCATAAGGAAAAATGCGCATATGTCGAAATTGCTCCTTTTTGCCTTTCAAGATTTCCAACTTTGGAAGCTACGAGGTCAGAGTGATCTCTCCACCGGAATCAGTAGACACATTTTAGAGAGCACAACCAGTTCTTTCAAATGATATGCGCACCATGCCGCAAATCAACCGCTCTCAACGATACAAAGACGAAAATGAAAACGCTACGAACTTATGGAACGACCGACCTATCGACTTAAACGACGTACAACTAGTGCATATATGAATTCACAATGTGAAATTTGTATGCGTGAGCAAGTGGGGCATCCGGGTTCTCTGTGAACGAAGTTACAAACTGTTTTCATTTTCAAACATCTGAAACTTCTAGATTTCAACTTCTGACTCGAGATGTATGATGGTGCGAACACTACGCGCCATCTTATTGAGCTTGCTTTGCTCTATCGAGCTTTACTCCGCAGGCTAATTAGAAATTGAGATATGTACGAATAATTGCGCCAGGATATAAAATAAAAATCTTTTAGAGCGACCCGATAGATCAATAATTACCTGCAAAAACAAAAATAATTCGGCTTCGTTCATACTCAGTCTACGAAAACAAAGAATACGATCTCACCGAATTCATCAGTAGGGAGATCTCAAAAAGTGTGAAATTATAGACAAAACGAGGAAGAAAAATAACTTACATATAGATTAGATGCTTGTGTTAGCAAATATCCAAAGCTATAGTTCTTATTGACCGTTGCTTCTTACAAT